TCACTTCAGTGGCATATGCGGCACTACTGGTGGCTGTTTTTAATTATTCTTTCCAATAACACTCACTACCCTAAATTCTATCAAGGCATTTGGTCTTATCAGTCTTATGCTTTTAACTGCTTCTGGATCAATCCTAAATTGATAAGTCAACACGGCAGCTTGTCTCCAAGACATATAATGCAGTTATCTCTTTTAAATCAGTAACTGCAGTTTTTCAACTAAAAATCAAAACAGAATTACTGTCTATGCTTTAAATTTAGAGACCTTAAATGATTAAAAATGGCCGTTTTGGAGCTCTTCTCTAGATGATTGTGTAAAAAATGCAGAAATAGTCAGATCATGATCCTGCAGCTCCCAGGTCTCTCCTGAGCATGTGTTAGGAGAATGCTAGTGATCAAATCTGACTCTTGGGGCCAGCAAGTGGCATAGCAGTTAAGGCACTGAACCCCCCGCCCCATGGCCTATTGCATTTGGGTCCTGGACCGAGCAGCTTGAAAATCATGCCAGGCACATGTGCATGCACGCCCAAAATTTTGAGAAGAGAATGGAGGAGAAGGGATTGCAGTGTGGTCATTCCCCCGTAGGGTGATTTCTGTCTGCAGAGTGCACACATCCTATGACTAAAACCAATAAAAGCAAAACCAAAACAAGATATAACTGAGCTCTCTACATGCAATGGTTAAAGTGAAGAGCATGCACACAGGCTCCAGTAGTATATCCTAGTGCATTCCCTTTTCTAACTCCGCATGTGTATAGGTTCGTGATAAAGCAAAAATGCCTCCTCTCCAGAAGTGTGTCCCTAATAGCAGAGAAAGTGCTGTGAGGCTCCCCTGCCATTCGTGTTTATTCTTCCCTTCATTCATCCATAAGCTCAGACTAGGCCCTTCCATACTCTGCCTCCAAAGGCACTAATGCTCATGGTTTAGGAACGAGAGGCCAAAGTTCTTCTGAAAGTATGCATAACCATGCTTTTGAAAACAGCTTGAGAGATTAGGTGAGAGATGCCAAGTGCATATCTAGAGAATCATTTGCTACTTGGTGATTTTTGTCTGCATACCCTAAATCAACAACTATCAGCTCTTTCGTTTTTAAGATGCAGATCTTGTTTATGTTGGTGGGATGGATATTATGCTTATCTATTTTTTTATTTTTTGATTCAAAGAAAGGCTTATGGACAGTGGTAGAAGTCTTTTCTAAGAGAATTTACATTTTGTTCTGAGATATAATATCATATACTGCCCAAGTCTGATGCAAGTATAGCATTTCCCTGGGCACTTGCATCTCCTCAGTAACGGATGGCTTCGCTTCAGTGCATAATTTTCCTGAAGCACCATTTATACTTATTTTAAGGGAGGGCCCCCAAAAGTCAAACCTAGACAATATTATCCTGAATTGCACCAGTACAATTTAATACAATAACATTACATTTAAAACATTTACATGTATAATTGCAAATCTACTTATTTTAAGCTTAATTTTATACAATATTTTGACAGACAAAAATATATGTTTCAGAATCATTATATGCATCTGTCTGTTCAGCAGCAAACTTACAGTAAATGATATAATAGAGCAAACTTACAATCAACTATACATTACACTGGAGCAAATTTCCTTAAAGGTAAAGAAGAAAAAGTCATAATTTATGTTTAAAATATAATGCTCATATCTTATTTCCAAATAAAACTTCAATAGCCATTACATTAGACTCACTTATTTCAAGCTTACATTCATTTGATATTCACATAAAACTCATGACTTGTAAGTGTAGCAACGAAATTGTATTTTGACACTGAGTGTTTGGAAGCTTGCTGTTGACATTTCAGTCCAGCTTGATGCTTTGAATAATATGAAAAAATATTAAAATTCCCCAATAAATATGTTGTAATCATTGTAAAAGTATGAAAATAAAATAGATGTTTTATTTGAATACCTTATCCCCAGGTATTACCCCCAAAGGTTAACAGCGTCTAAAATGTTTCAGTAGCTTTCTTGTCAATGAGGACAGAGTTTAAAAATCTGGTCCACTGAGTGGAGTGGGAAGAATACAGCAGAGCTGTCTGCCTCACCCATGACGCCAAGGCAGGCCAGTGACAGGCACGGTGCATACTCACCCCCAGCTTACAGCCTCATTTATCCCATGGAGGTTGTAAAAACTGGGGGGAGTGGACAGGAACGTACAAAAATGAATACGTATCTTGCCATTGCTGTTTCATTCTTTACGATCAGTTGCTTTTTTGCACTTAAAGATAATCTTGCTCATATCTAGCACATTTCTCTGTGGATTTAATAATAAGTTAGTTTTCTATAGTTTGAGACTATGTGGAAAATTGTAGGTTATATAAAATACAACATTATTTATTAACTTTAATGATTTCAGTTATCTACTTAATAAAATACAACATTATTAACTTTAATGATTTCAGTTATCTACTTTTAACTTTTCAACAGGATAAATTGTTTTTCCCCCTATATTTTTCTGTCGTTACAGAATTAATTAAATGGAGTAATTTTTCTATTAATAGTTGTTCTTCTTTTGCTAGATTTAAATGTGGTTGTTTTGGGCAATTGTTGCTCAGCAAAACTGCAAAATACGTAGTATATTAAAAGTCTACACTTCTCTTCTGAGTTTATAGGCAAGGTGAAGTGTTCATGGAGCACAATAAAACCATGTGCCTCAAAAGGTTGAGACAAAAAGTTATGGTGATGGAGAGGAATTAGAGCCATTTTCCAGGTAGTGGGCTGGAAATCGTGGCCTATCTGAAAAAACATGTTTGCAGGAAATATTTTAATCTCTGTGTTTCTTCTTTAATATATTTCCTGTCCATGTCTGGGAATCTTGGACTCCCATATTTACTGGTTGAAATAATGTACAAAAGTGAATAACTTATGCTCCCAAGAACATCACAGGTTACTGAGTAAATTCTAGGCAACTAGGTAAAATAAATTCTTTTATTTAGGTATGTTATACTCAGTAAATATTTTGAATACAATGTCATATTCACCATCTTGTATTGATAAAGCACTGAAAATACAGGACATTAGGATGTGCAAAATTATTTAATTTCATATTTTTATAATTAGCTTGCTGGGGCCAGTAGGTGGTGTGGTGGTTAAGGCGCTGGATCCCACATGGCTGGCTGCATGGTTCGAGTCTCAGAGTTGGCAGCTTGAAAAACATGCTGGGCATGTGTGCATGCACGCCCAGTATCCCGAGAAGAGAACAGAGAAGGGGTTGTCATGTGGCCGCCCCCTTGGGGGATCATTTCTTACTCTCCCTCTCTCTTTCTGTCTCTGTCCCTGTCGGATGCGCTATAAAAACACACAAACAAAAACCTTAAAAAAAATTCATGCAAATTAAATTCCTGTTTAATAAAAAAGGAGATATATTTTCTAATGCTTTAAGATAATTACAGTTAAAACCTGTGAGAAGGAATTTTAGGATCAAGACCACAACTTTCTAGCTTCATGACAAATACTCAGTTAACTTCATTTTGTTTATGAATTACAAACTGGGCATGGTTTTGGAAAAAAAATCACTTTCGTTTCAACAATTCAGACTGCCTTTTTTTGTTGAATCCAATTCCCAGGTCAATTTTCAGATCATCCATTCACTTTGCTTTTCTGGACAATGCTCCAGGTATTCCTATAATGTGTTACTGGTGGGAAAGCATTCAAAATTATATAATGGACACAAGCCATTGCATATACATATTTATATCTACATATGTATTTTTAAACTCCAGAAAAGGAGCAAAATAATATTTTATGACAGATCTCATGGACAGTTATGTATATATCAAATGTAAAAATTCATGGCTTTTTCCCTTTCAGATTTATTTTTACCTTCTGCTTTCTTCTCTATCTTAAAATTCACTATACACTTTCTATAGTGCTGATTTGTCTGGTCCCTAAGACAGGCTTATCTAAAGAAGTGCTGCACTGGAGAGCCCTTGGCACTAAGTCACCCCCGTTAATGACTACCCCCAGTAAGTGGGATTCGTTTCTAGTTTTACTATCAGGAAGTGTTGTGAGATCTGATACTAATAAATATTCAGTGAAATACATGTGATTAGTAGTTTTTCTTTCATTAGCCATAACTGGTTCTGTGTGGCTGCCTCTCCTTACACATAGCTGGATTTCACTTTTGATACTAATTTATCTAGTATTATCTAAACTAATACATTACTTGTTTTCTCACGGGGAAAACTATATCTAATTCAGAGGGAGATAATAATCTACTGTTCTTCCAATCACTTTTTGCTTAATGGCCACCTTGATTTATTGCTTTAAGGTTGCCTTCTGATCTTTCTACACCCCAGTGTTCTCTAAGCATATAGTAATTACAGACATACTCAAAGGAGCTGTGCTCTTCTACCAAAATGGACTCTAATTTCCTATCACTTGTACACAAAGAAATACTCCTAGACAGTTATTTTTTGTGTATTTTCTTTGCTTGTGCTCAGAATAACACATGCCATTACTAAAGGACTCACAGATTGCACACTCAGCAAATGTTAGCTCAGAACAGGAAAGAAGGGGTACATCAAATTAAAAAAAAAATCAGTAGTTTAATTCACTGCACCATTCATCAGAGTTACCGAGTTATTCTTACAGCCTTGATGTGATGATTAAACTCACCAATGCGTTAGCAAGTAAGGTCTGCATCAAGACAGTTCAATTTATTTTTTCTTGAGTTTTTTCCTATCTACTTTTCTTTCTCTCTCTTTTCTTTCTCTCTCTTTTCTTCTTTCTTTTTCCTTTTTCTTTCTTTCTTTTTTCTCTTTTTCTTTCTTTCTTTCTCTCTCTTTTTCTTTCTTTCTTTCTTTCTTTCTTTCTTTCTTTCTTTCTTTCTTTCTTTCTTTCTTTCTTCTCTTTCTTTCATTCTTGCTTTCTTTCCTTCCTTTCTTTTTCTTTCTCTTTCTTTTTCTCTTTTCTCCTTTCTTTGTCTTTCTTTCTCCTTTCCTTCCTCCGTCTCTTTCTTTTTCTTTCTTCCTTTCTTTTTTTCTTGCTTTCTTTCGTCTTCTTTCTCTCTTTTTTTCTTTTTCTAATAAAGATAAATATTCCCTTTGGCCTTCTGTTCTTTGAGTGGGGCTTTATTCATTTTTGTATACCCAACAAACCTATCTAGTATCAAAATCAAAAGCACTGTAATGAGAAAGAAAGTTGCTGCTTTCGTAAGCGCTTCTTTCTAGCTTGGCTTGTATCTGTGCAATTGCACTTTATATGGATTTTTGTTCTCCTGAATATTGTTTATATTTTAATATATTCTTATATGCTGCAAACCATCTTTCCAGGACTACCCTATCATAGTGCTGTATAAGAAAGCAGTATTTTGTTTAGATGGGGTCATTGTAAATTATCTTCAGTCCCAGACCCTTCTGGACTGGAATCGATGTCCAGGAAGGCCTCTTTATTGGTGAAAGTTGAGCTGAGAGTTATGCTCTGCCGAGGCTTCACAGGTGCAAGTTCATCTAATTTAATATTTTCATTTTTGACCAGAATTGTTTTATCCATGTTTTCTTCACTGTGCCTTGCAACAACAGCATCAAATACATCTAATTTTGGTGGCAAAGTCCCACTCTCAAATAGGTATTTAGCCAGATAAGAGACACAGATGTTGGTTAGGAAGGAAGTGGCCATGGCCAGTGTTTTAAATGGGAATCTCTGATTATATATACCATTCTTATCAGCATAGTAGCCAGGGTAGAAGATCAAGGGCTGCAGGTACAAGTATGGCTCCCCTCGAGTTATTCTCAGAAAAAGGCCAGACACATAACCTGCCACAGCCCCATACGTGTTGGTTCCCTTGACGAAGAGCACACAGAGCAGCTGTGGGAAGATGATGATGTAGACAAGGTCGGAACTGAGGTACCAGAGCCCGTACACGGTCTTCGTGAGCAAGGCCATGGCCGTAGCAGATGCTCCAAACACAAACACTGTGATCCGCATGACCCAGACAATCTCTTTGTCTGATGCCTGAAAGAAATCGCCACAATGTCAGCTTTTTGCACAATGTGTTACCTCATTTAGGCTAATTATGAGATACATGTGTGTGCCTTAAAGCTGCTCTAAAGAATCCCACCTGGTTCAGATGGTTCAATCTGTGCACAAACTACAGCACCGAAGGCACATGGTCTAGGCAGCCTTCCAGAGAGACTTTTGGGAGGGCTTCTGAGGAAAAGCATAGACCTCGCACGCCTCCCGATGGATGCATGGGAGGGAGGTAAGAGGAGCTAGCATGGTGTCATAGAGGGATAATAAGGTAGCGGAGGATTCCGTGGACTTTACATAGTAGGAAAAACATGTTTAAGTATTTATTTATTTATTTCATGAGACAGACAGAGAGAAAGGAAGATAAGTACCCTCAACAGGGTGAGCTGATGGTTTGAGCCCCAGACCTGGGAAATTCACGCCAGGCATGTGTGCATGTGTGCCCCAAATCCCATTAATTTGCCATGATTCACCCACTACCCCAGCCTCCCAGTCAGCCAGGATCCTGGGCCCATGCTTGCATGTCTGGAAGGTACTGGTCAACCTGAGTATTGAACCCTGACTCTCCAGGTGACCTCCAGCACTTCCAGACTCTGTAGCACTGTGTGCACCACACTGGGCAGCATGTTTCCGTGTGGCATTGAGAGAGCACAGGCCATCCCTACTTCCTTGCTCTGAATGCTACCGTCTGTAAGGCTGACCATCTGAGGTCCTTGGGAAGGGCTTGCCTAAGGACTACCTTTGGTAAAAGGCAGTGTAACACGCTCTGGTACCTCTGGTACCTTTGTAACAACACGGGGGCCATTTTGTTAACTATGACCTAGGAAACTAAGAGAGGCAAAACTATAGTCCAAGAAGAGAGTGGAGAGGTGCTCTTGTTCACTCAGGGGCCACAATAGCATACTGTTTTGCAGCCCATTTGATTCAACAGGAAATCAAATTAATAGGGTATTTTCTGACAAAGATGGACTTGGGAATTCACATGATGACAGTCCAGATGTTACACATACACCTTAGAAATAACATACCATATTTCACTTCCAAGTTCACCAGTCTCTGATGTATGTAACTAGAATGAAGTTCAACTAATGAGGCTAACAAGTGGAATGGTGGTTTAGGCACTGGACTCCCACATGGCCAACCATGGTTTGAGTCCCAGACCTGGGAAATTCACACTGGTCATGTGTGCATGTGTGCCCAAAATCCTAGGAGCAGGATGGAGAAGAGACTGCAGCATGGTCATCGCCCTGGGGGTGATTTCTCACTTTCCTTCTAACTGTCTCTCTCTCTTTCTCTCCAATGAAAGCACATATTCTATTGCAAAAACCTAAAAAAAAATTAATATTTTATTACTCTCTCATCGAGAAGACAAGAAGTTTAAATCACAGCAATAGGACTGTACCTCTTAGCAAATGGCTATACTGATTTATTCTCATCATTATTAGTATGAATGGTACCACAGGTTGATAACATTCATTAACAACATAAATAAAATTTATTCAACTTTGTATGTGTAAGAGGGCCAGTTCTTAACAGGAAATATTGGGGCCAGCAGGTGGCATAGTGGTTAAGGTACTGGACTCCCACATCACCAACCATGGTTCAAGTCCTAGACTTAGCATCTTGAAAATCATGCCTAGCATGTATGCCTTTGTGCCCAAAATCCCAGGAGGAGAATGGAAGAGAAGGGACTGTGGTGTGGCCATCCTACCCGGAAGTGATTTCTCACTCTCACTCTCCCTCTCTCTCTCTCTCTCTCTCTCTGGTGAGCACATGCACCCTATGGTAAAAACCTAAAATAAAGTAGAGAATATTAATTAATATGGAATATTATATGCACAATAAATACAATGACGAGCAGCAAAAAGAATAGCAAATTACAAGTTTAAAAGAACTGTTCTTACATTTTGTCTGAAGGAGAGCTGGTAGATGTTCCTAGCAAACATGGAGCTTGCTGACAAGATGGAAGAATCTGCCGAGGACATGACGGCGGCAGAGACCGCGCCGAGACCAAAGAAAGAAATGTACACAGGGCAGAGGTACTGCAGGACGATGGGCAGGATCATGTCCGCCTCCTCATTGCTCTTGGGGTCTAGCGGCCCGTATGCAGTCTGGTTCCAGTCTGAATAGAAACAGCAACCAAACAGCCGTGTGTTCTTTATCCATTGCAAGTCATGCTACTTACCGGGCCGTTAGTTAAGTCACAAAGTTGGTCTGCTTAGATGGGCAGCCCACTGCTGGTCAAATCTAAGTGTCTCACGTGTCCTGCCTTCTAATGGTGCTCACTGCAGCGTCATTCCCAACAGCGGCACAGAACCTGGTGTGAGACACACCCTGCCTTTCTGCTACGGTGGTGCTACAGGGCACAGAATCACAGAAAACAAAGGCTCTGAAATGGAATCACAGGGTTTTCCTTGGACCACCAGGAGCTGTGAGATGACACTCACTTTTTCTCCCGTGGGCTCCATTATCAAGTGGCTGCAGACAGTAGTGGAACTGTCCTCACCCATCCCCTTCTGAATATACATCTGGCTCATGCGCTGTCTCGGCATTACTTTTCTCCCACTACAGTTTCTCCCCCTTTGTGGAAAAGTCCACTGCCTTAGACGTTGGGGGGCATGCTAAATTAAGGAAAGTCCTTTTTAATTGAATAAAAAGCATAGCCATGAGCCTGACATTTTCAGGGTTTTGGCCTTGGTAGAGTCAAAGGATTGGAGACATAAGTCTATTTTTTAAAAAAAATTTTTTAAAGGTTTTCACTATAGGGTGCGTGTGCTCGCCAGCCAGACAGAGACATAGAGACAGAAAGCGAGAAATCACCCCCCGGGGGGATGGTCACGCCGCAATCCCTTCTCCTCCATTCTCCTCTCGGGATCTTGGGCACGCACGCACACGCACCCGGCGTGAGTTTTAAGCCACCGGGTCCGGGACGCGAACCGCGGTCGACTACGTGGGAGTCCAGTGACATAGCCATTACGCTAACTGCTGGTTCCCAACATAAGTCTATTTTTGAATAGGTAGCTTTCCATTGTTCAGGTCTAGTACGTGCTGCAGAGTACGGTGAAACCCGAAACGTGCATGCCACAGTTCCGTTCTGATGTGCAGACCTTTCTCCATGCCGTGGTTATAGGGCAAAGTAGGAGTGCTTCCTCTGCATCCTCCCATTTCTCTTCCCCTATTTTCACATTATGTTCGGCATCAAAGACATCCTAGATGAAGCCGACTTTAGAACCCTACTTGAGATGGTGCAGTATCAGAAATAGCCATCAAGAATGTGAACCCAATCTAAAAAAAAGCAGGCTTTGTCAACTTCTCGTTCTACAACCCCTTCTCCCTATCCCGAGCCCCATGTGGTAGTGGCCGGATCTGTTTTCTGGTGGGGAGATAAATACCTTTTTTTCCCCAAAGGCAAACGCTGCATAGCGCCTTGCCAGTCATCCTTTTCCCTAAAGTTCTACATCACAGGTGGACAACTGCGGTGGGGAGTGGGTGCCCTGGACAACGGCCGCTCCTCTGAAAGCCAAACCCCACTAGTGGAAAGCCGGGTGCTGTGTGAGCACCAGCCTGGGTCATCTTTGTGAAACGGCACAGTGGAGGGTAGACTTCCTCTTCTCTCTTCATTGCTTCTACCTCGAGAACTTTCGAATTCGGGATAACGTGATATATTTTCACTAAATTCTCTTTAAAGTTGTATGGGAACAGGGAACATAAGGGCTAAGAGTAAGTAATATGTTCAATAAAATTAAAGATGAGATTATAAAAATATTCCACATAGAGACTTATAGGGAGATAATCATTTCACAATGCCTTTTAAAAAAACTAGTCTTAGTTTATCTTAGCCCACACATGTATTGATTTCTCCGGGGAATAAAACTCTTAATTAACAAAACTATTGATTATGAAAAGCAGGAATCTCAAGTTCAGAATGGCCCTTGGTGCCCGGGATGGTGACAGGTAATTTTTTTCTTCTTTTTTTGAGAAAGATTTTTTCTTTAAGGCACATGTGAGAGAAGAGACAGAGAGAGAAAGTGAGAGGGAGGGATGGCCCTGCCTCCACCATTTCTCCACCATTCTCCTCTTGGGATTCTGGGCATGCACATGCAGGTGCCCAGTGTGCATTTCAGGCCACTGAATTTTGGACTCGAACCACGGTTGGCCATGTGCAAGTCCAGCACCTTAACTACTGTGTCACCTGCTGGCCCTGAGGACAGGTAAGTTTCTGACCCAGTGGCCTTCAGCTCTGGCCATGCTGTGCCTCACCTCAGTGGCTTTGGAACAATACTCGGTCTACTTTTGACTATTAAAACAAAGTTCTTGAGGAGTATACAAGAAACAGGTATCTTTAAAAGAGTCCTTCCTGGGGGCTAAGCTGTGGCATGCAGGTGACAAAACGGCCCACAGGAAAAGGGCCCTGGGTGTACAGGGTGGGATCTCCCTGAGCCCACAGGGAGTGCATGCGTGTGCCCATTATCTGAGCTGGCTGAGGCGGGGGTGGGTCATGTCAGGTGCCATCCCCCTGCTTTCTCTATCTCCCTCACTCATGGAAGAAAAAGAGCTTTAGGCCAATCACAATGAGAATAGTAATAAATATAGCTCTTATGAAAGAAAAAAAAAAAGGGTCCGTCCCTATTCTCCAGATGACATCAATGTGCACTCGAGTGAGAACCAGCTGACTGGAGTATATATAAAGAACTGATAAATTCACCCAAACTGGGGAGATGGTGTGCTCACCCACAGTGTATTGGTGGAGAACCAAAGACATCTGGAGGCCATCGAACTATATACAATATGATTCTCTGAATACCATTGCCAGAGTCTATAGAAGAACATGATGAGAAATAATTAAGTAAATGGAACGAGAGGAAAGTGGACGGAGCAGCCAGTGGGGACTGGTGACTAAGAGAGCACTGTGAGAAACGGCAAGAGGTTTACCTGTTGATGCTCCAATGGCCCCGATGAGGATGGCCGGGAGAGCCATGACCAGGCACCCAAACGCTGCCAGGAAGGACAACACTTGGGCGTAGGTGGCTGAGGATGAAGACAGGACCCTCTGGAAGTACGCTTGCCATGGGATTCCACCCAGTATCTACAGGAGAGCCACGCAGAGTCAGGGGGAATGGGGGCAAACAGCATCTACTACGTCTTTCTAGAAAGAAGCTTATGACAATCGCACCTAGAACAGTCATGACATGATCGGAAGTATAGAAAATGCCCACGGATAATTGCTTTCATTATGCTTACTTTCCCCTGAGTATGTCCCCCCAAATTCATCCGTTGGCATTCTAATTTCCACGGTGATGGCTAAGGTATCAGGTGGGGGCCTGGGAAAGATGTTGAGGAGGTCGTGAGGGAGGAGCCCCCATCAAGGCAATTAGTGTCCTTGCGGGAGGCCTGGGACAGGGGTGCTTCCACCACATGAGCACACAGTGAGAAGGTGCCATCGGTGAGGAAATAGGCCCAGGGCCTGATCCTGGACTTGCCAGTCTCGAGAACTGTGAGAAATCGATATTTGCTGTTTCTCAGCCATCTGGTACTTTGTTATACCAGCCTGCATGAACTAAGACAGTGTTATTGTCAGACTTTTGGACATGCAGAACTTCATCCAGTTTTTTAGTTACATAGGACACTTACTTTTCTCTAATTTACTTTCTTTTAGCTGCACTACTGTTACCCAGAAACCTTAATTTGCTCTCACGGAGTTGTATCCCTCATGAAATAGTCTCAAAAAATAACAGATTCTGAAATCACCAAGTTAAATCTGAATCAATGCACTCTAATAAATATTTAGACTCCACTCGCGTGCCAGGCCATGTACTGGTTGTGAAGGGCCCAAACGGGAATGAGGCATGGCTCCTGCCCAGGAGCTTGCTCTCTCTTGGGACAGTCAATGCACGATGCTATTTTCCAATATGTGGTGTCCAGAGCTCTCAAGACAGTACAGTAAGGAGTCAAGGAAAATAATATTGTTTGCATTCATTTTACCTCATAATCTCAATGTTATGTGGTTGTTGTTATTAAAATGAATGATATTACAGTATGAGAGCATCTCAAAAAATTGTGAAAAACTGGAATTAAAGTATCAGTTTGTTTTGGTGCAAAACAAATGTGAAACCCATGCATAACTTTTTTGCAATGCATGAACTTGTGCAGACCTCTCATGTGTACGTGGTTGGTTAATGCAGATAACCTATATTGGCGATGTGCTTAATCGTTGTACTGAAGGCATGCATCCAAACGGCTTAGAGACATGGATCTGTAATGCAGCTTGTTGGGAACAAAAGTGAGGAACAATCATTTGTAAGAGAGAGAGGACGGTGGTGGGAAGCAAGGAGGGGCAGCAAGGGCAACTCGAAAAACCTATAGACCAGACATTGGGGCCGGTGCTTAAACCCTGAGA